TCTGGTGTCATAATAAAGCGTGAATAATGATTTTTATATTTACTAGTTAAAATAATAAATGAAAAGAGAGACTGGGGTGGACCTAAAGCTTTCTAAAAATTGATGGCAATAGAGGGGTAACATTAAGAAGCCAAAGTCAAATTCTGTTTATAAGCATCAGAGTAGTGAGGAATTGGTATAAGTTGCTTCTTCTATCTTTTACATTGATTTCATTTCTTGGTATTACTAGGTATATACTTGGTATACTCATTTATATTATGACACATTCCTTTGGATGTAGTCTTCATTTAAGATGAGATACAGCACTGAGTAACAAGATTAAGCCCTCAGGAAGAAGAGAAAAGTAACTATGGTTGACAAGAGTCTTGGTGGGCAAGGTTAGAAAGTTGTCCTGCAATCGACAGGCTTAGCTGTGAGCAAAACTAGAAAGTAAATACAGTTCATGTTAGAAACCCCAATCTCTAGCTATGTTCTTGGTTGGATACATCTATCGTTCTTCACTGCTGACCCTAAATAAGAAGCACAGGCTCTTTATGTTCTCAGGAAACGGGTGTCCCCATAGTCTCTCTCTAAGCCAACTTGATATTTGCTCATGTGAAAGGTAAGTGATTTGTTCTTTAATTTAAATTTTATTTTTATATTCCCCATACAATTACAACCCCCTTATTTTGACCCCAAGCCCTCCTTTCCCCGCCCCCCACCCCCCATAGAGTGTCTCTGGTTCATAGTTGTTTGTTGATTTTCATATTTTCTTTCTTATAGTTATTCTTTTTCCTGGTTCCTTATTTAGGTTTTCTAGATTCCTGCTATGAGTGAGACCATCCGGTATTTTTCTTTTTCTTTCTGGCTTATTTCGCTGAGCATGATCCCTTCCAGCTCCATCCATGTTGCTGCAAATTGCATGTGTTTATCTTTTTTGAATGCTGAGTAATATTCCATTAAAATAGCTTAGGAGCTTGTTTCCTCCATAAAGTAACTAGGAATTAAAAATAATACATAAGGTCTCAGTGGATAAAAATTTGAAACACTAGCAAGATATAAAAGAAGATCTTAGGTGTAGAATGATGATAAATGCTCTTGGATGGGGTGAGTTCATATTGTAAAGATGTTAGTTTTTCCCAAATTAATCTTTAAATTAAAGATTTTCTGCTGAGTTTTCTAGGAACTTCATAAATGTATTATAACATTTATGTAATATTTATATGTTTCAAAGGTCCATGAATAGCTGAGTCAGCCTTGAAAAAGTAGAGCAAAGAGTGTATACTTTCTATACAGAATTACAGGCATTTCTCAGTAATACAAATATTATGGGACTTCGACAGAACAAAATTAAAATTTTGGAATGAAATAGAGAAAACAGAGGCGGTTTGTATTTGAAAAATATCACATTTGATGAGGAATTCACTGTTGAGTGCACTGGGTTAGAAATTTTTTTTGACTCATTATGTGGAAAAAACCGAATTCCCTACTTCCTAGTATAGACAAAAATGTGATAAAGACCTGATTGTGAAAGATAAAATCACAGTAAATAGGAGAACAGAGAGAAGAATATTTTCATGAACTAGGCATGTAGAACGATTTTTTAAAATGACACGTAGGAAAGTGCAAACCAAAAAATGAAAAACAATGTTTTAGATGACATCCAAAATTTTCTGTTCGACAACGGACAAATACAGTTAACAGACAGAACACAAATTACAAGATCTTTCTGTGTCCACAACCAAGAAGAGTAATATACAAAATATGCAGTGGATGCTTAGAAACCAGCAGTAACAAAATCAAAAAGCCAAAAACCTAGTAGCACAACGGGCAATTGATGTAAACAATCAACTCATAAAAGGGGGAAGCCCAAGTGCTTACAAGTGTATGAAGAAAATGCAAATTAAAACTATGGTGAGATACCACCGCAAACCTCCAAACAGCAGCAAAATTAAAATTGAATGATACAAGTGTGGGTGGGGATATAAGAAATAAACCTGAAGTGGCTGATATGAGTATATCAGTGCTACCTGTCTGGAGAATGGTAGTATCTATGAATACGTAAACAAGTCTGTGATCCAGGGGACTTACTCCTGGGTAACTACTCCAAAGATCTAAAATGAATGCCACCAAAATGACTTGGATGAGGGTGCTTAGTGCTGCAGTGTCTGTTGAGTGGGCAAAGGGAGGAGGTTTAGTTTCTCATTACTCGGGGGAAAATAAAATGTGGTGGATACACATATGGGAGGTTGTGTTAGAAATAGGAACTGCACACTCAACATAGTTTGCAAGACCACAATGCTATCTGGAGAATTAAGAAATTAAGAAAGAGAACCTATTTGTATAAAACAAAAATACCCACACACACCATGCAGCACTTCATATTTTAGGGGGAGGCACAAATATTCAGAGACGTATGTCAAACCTCTGGAGCAGTGGCATGTGGTGGGGGTAGAAGGGGTGGTGTGTGTTTGGTGTGGAAGGAGAATTGTGAGAGTGGGGTCTCATGTGCACACACACCACACACACACACACAACCATTATACTTTGATGAAATGGCCATGTCTGTTGGACTAAGGAATATTGTGAAAACAAAACTTCTTGTTTGAGATATCTGAAGTCTTCTCTTAGGGAGGTATGTACTTTAAAAAGAATATAGATTGTAGATTTTTAAGCATTAGCCAACCAGTTGGGAAAATTTTTTATCATGCAGCCTGTGACTATGTATTCATCACTTGCTACAGGACAGGTAGTGTTCTGAGTGTTAGGGAGAGGATAGCCCACAAGACAGAAACACTTACCCACAATCTGGGTGGGGATTTGGACTAGCCCTTCTTGGCATTTGATCAGGAAAAGTATTGCTAGATCCGCTTTGTGTACAGCTGAGTCTGCCTTTATCTGACACAGCTTTGTAAGAGACTTGAAAACTCACAAGGAAACAGCTAAAGAGTGGGACCATCATGAACTGAAACTATTTAGCATATGTCTACTTGTTATATCACAAGAACAGTTTTTTTAGATTTATTTATTTATACAAGAACTGGGGTACAGGCCAGAGGCATGGGTGGGGTGGGTGAGAGGATTCACCAGAGCCAGAGCAGGGAGCAGAACAGGCAGATGACTGAAAACACTGCTGAGGGGAGCAGCGGGCGAAACAGGAGAGGTCTGATGCGCCATGTGGGACTCTCCCTGACTGGCGGGGAATCGAATCGGTGCTTCAGAGGCTGCGGACAGCTTCACAGCGCAGCTCTCAACCCACTGCGCCACCGGGGAGGCCCTCATAGGAATAGTTTTATTCTCTATCCACAGCCTCTCCTAATAATAAATGTTTTTGAGACTCCTGATATAACTGTTTAGAAATTCTCATACAGTCTCAGGTCGGATTATTACTTTAGTTGGTTTTGGTCAAGTTCACTAACCTAAGATCTTGAGTCCATGAATACTATCTTATTAATGGTTGTCTATCAGGATGGCATATGGATGTCAATGTATTTCTACTACTAAAGACTGGTTTGAAAATTGCTGGCGTTCTGCTTTTGTTGCATAGCTATTTGCTCTCTATGCAAGAAAAATAATGAAACAGGCAAGTAAGTCTGGGTCAAACACCAACTGTAGGAATGTTATAAAAACTGAGCCCAACTTAGCTCCTTGCTGTGGGTGTTTTCAAAGATACTTAGTAAGTTATTTAACTTTTTTTTTAAGAAATGGGCCATAGGCCAGAGGTGCGGGGGTGGGGGTGGGGGTGAGAGGATTCACCAGAGACAGAGTGGGGAACAGAACAGGCTCATTGACTTAAGTCCACTGCTGAGGGGAGCAGTGGGCAAGACAGGAGAAGTCTGCTGCGCCATGTGGGTCAGCTCCCTGGTTGGGGATCAAACTCCTGCCGGCAAAGGCCTCGGACAACCTTACAGTGCTGTGCTCAACCCCCTGCACCACCAGGGAGGCCCAAAAATACTTAGCAATTTATTTAACTTTACAGCTCTATTCATCTACTCATTCAGCCTGCTCTGATTGAGTCCCCCCTAACATGTAGCACTGTTCTAAGTGCTGGAGATACGGAGATGAAAGAGACACTGAATCATAGGTTAAGAAAAATAATGATCCGAAGGCTGTAAACCAATGTTACTTCAATAAAAAAAAATTATGTAAGAATCATTTATTGCAAAAAATAAAAAAAAATTGAATCAGGAAACTAGCACAGAACACTAACCCATTAATAATTTCATTCATGGCACATTTTCCAAACTTAAACTGACACTAATTATAAGTCAAAGAAAAAACTCTCCACTATATTTCCATCTTCCTATTTGCTGATTGCTTATAAAAAGTCCTGGAATGGGAGGAAAAGAGCCAGCACTGCTGTTTTCAAAATGTGTCTTCTTCAATATTCAGCTTATTTTTTTAAAAAATAAGAAAAAATTGTTTTTAAAAGTGGAAGTATCTCCAACTGTCGCTACTATTTACTTTAAAGCAGAGGATATAGGTCAGAATTCCCTTGTTTCTGATCACCCCTGCTGGGATAAGAATCTATGAAACTGATAGGAACATGAGTCCTTGACCAAAATGCTAATGCAGTTACTATAGGAGATCAAAAAGTACAGCAAGTCCTTTCTTTGAAAAATATGTAGGTTTAGAAAATTTCTGGAATTAATCTGTAAAAGCACCCTTTGGTCACCTGAATAGTAACATTTTAGGGGAACACTTGTTTCTCAAGGTGGGAAAATAGGAGGTTTGTGGCTCCCGTGGTGGTGGCGGTTCTCAGAAAACAGGACTGGAAATTAGATAATTGCTGATGTCATTATTTCACACACACACACACACATGTATAGATACACGCACAAAATTTTGGTGTCCTAGGACTATAAAAGCAGCAGCTTCTACCTTCTCATCTATCACAAGCAGAATCACCCCAACAGGTGAGTGTTTCAGCAAGCTTGGTGTGATTGATTGATTTGATACTTACTTTTGCTACTTTGTTTTCTTCATGGTATTTTTGCTTATTCTTTTGATAATAGGTTCTCTTCTCTCATCACTGATCACTTCACAGTTGAGTTATCTGCAATGGCTACCCTGCAGAAATCTGCCAGCTCTTTCCTTGTGGGGACTCTGGCCACCAGCTACCTCTTCCTCATTGCCCTCTCAGTGCAGGGCGGAACAGCTGCACCCATCGGTTCTCAATGCAGGCTTGACAAGGGTGACATCGTCTCGGGGTATATCAACAACATTACCTACAAGCTGGCCGACGAGGTATTCATCTCAGCCTTCCTTTCCATGCAGCATCTTATTTACTTGCAAACTGAAAAGATCTTAGTAGTCTCTACAAAGCACTTCTAATGTTTTAATTTTTTTAAAGATTTATTTATTTATGCATACGAGAACTGAGGCGTAGGTCAGAGGTGCAGGGGATGAGAGAGAGAGAGAATGGGGAGCAGAACAGGTAGATTTACTGAAATCCACTGCTGAGGGGAGCAGCGGGTGAGACAGGAGAGGTCTGCTGCACCGTGTGGGTAGCTCCTTGGCTGGGGATTGAACTTATGCTGCTTGATAACTCTGTGTCTTCAACCTGTGCCACCAGGGAGGCCACTTCTAATAATTTTAAGAACCAGTCATATGCCCCCATGTTGGCCTTTAAGATACATACATTGAGTTTTACCCCAAAAGGAGGCATTTTGTAGACCACCTAACTATTCGTTTTTCCCTTTACTCACCTGAGCATTCTTTTAAACTCATGCCCATATCTGAATTCCCTTTTTAGTCTTCATGGGGTGCACTGGGAAGAGGGGATGGAGTACAGCGCTAACTATACAGATTTTTCTTATATCTACTCCGTGTACAGGGACTTAGTTTCTTATTTTCTTGCAGGCTAGTTTGATGGATAACAACACAGATGTTCAGCTCTTTGGAGCAAACCTGTTCCAAGGAGTCAGTGTAAGTCCTCTGAGGTCATTTGGAGTGGTGGCGGTGATGCTTTGAGTCTTATGCTGGCTCCTTAACATGACTCCTGCTGTTTCACTTCCACCAGCAGATGACAGAGCAGTGCTACTTGATGAAGCAGGTGCTGAAATTTACCCTTGCAGAAGTGCTGTTGCCCCAATCATACAGATTCCAGCCCTACATGAAGGAGATGGTGGGCATCCTGGACCTGATCAGCAACAAGCTAAACCAATGCGTAAGTTCCTCTCCCCACTAAGTCCACTCACTAATTCCACTGAGAGCTCATTTCACCCAAGCCCTCCCTGCCCTTCTCTCCCACTGGTAGTAAAAGGAGCCAGAGCAACCACTTCCAGAGTCATTTAAAATCAGAGTGATTAGCTTTAATTGAGTCTTTTTTTGAGTTTATGGAGATAAATGGGGCCTAAAATATGAGTGACTAGAAAGCTCATATTTTGTTGCTGGAAAAAAGCAACTCTAGGAAAAACACCTCAGGTGAAAGTGGATCCGCTGAGTGGGAGTTGACAGGGGAGGGGAGGGGAATGAAATAAATGAGAAATGAGAGAATTTAACGTTCCGTGGTGTGTGGGCAAAGATGGTCGCCCTTTAGAGGTCATAGGAAGTGACAAATCCAGAGGTGTGAGAACTTGATGTCTTTGAACATCTAAAACTATGAGAAAGTTTTGAGCGAAGTGGGCAGAATGAAGGGGACTTAGTACTCATTAAGAAGAAACTAGTGTTCACACAGATGGTTAATATTTCTTCTTCTGACCATGCATTTTTTGGTGAGGTGTAGTTGGGGTTCTGTTTTGAGAGAATTTGCATAAACCACTCCACTCTTTACGCAAATTTAAACCTCAGAAGGATTTCCCAAAGGTGAAGTGAGGTCCCATACAAGGAAATGGACTGGCTTTTGATGGCTGAATTAATTCAAGAGCTCAGAAAATTTGGGTCATTGGTGAAATCTAGGTCATCTTGGGCAAAATTGCTAATAGCTTTTATTGCAGGTGAATTGTTAGGAAGGAGGCTCATAGTTTTAGTACAACAATGTTCACATAGTTACTCTGGCTTTCATTTTGCAGCACATTGAGAGTGACAACCAGCATATCCAGAGAAAAGTGCAGGAGCTGAAGGACACAGTGAGAAAGGTACTAATATTGATGTTAAGCCCTTAAATCAGAGACAAATGTTATTTTCCTTTTTTATTTCCCCCCACGTTGTGATTTTTATATTAATTAATTTTTATACCATTGGCTTTATTATTTAGATGCTTATATCTACAGATGTGTCTATATACTTATGAATCAATTTCCAAATTTTGGAAATTATAGCATTCTAAAGTTGTCTGGAAACTTGGGTCATCTAATCTCCTCACCCCGTGTTCTGGGGATGCCAGTGGCAGTGCCAGGTCTAGAATGCAGGTCCCCCGGGTCCCACCCAGGCTAGCATTCTTAGCAGCAAAAATCCATATTCGTGTTATTATTATTAATTCTTAAGAAAATTTAACATTCCTATGGACTCATGTAATATGAAGGGGCACTGTTTAAATACAGAAAAGTGCCTGGGGGCAGATTTATTTGAAGTGATTTTTGAAGCCATCAATTTGGTGATCTAAAATTTGGAGAAATAAACTCAGACCAAGCTAAACAAAAGAGATAGATGCATAAAGGATGAATTTCTGGAGTCAGTGATATTTATACTCAATTATTATAATACCCGACATCTATTAATTTTAATTTAAAAGCAAGAGTGAACAAACTCTCATTTCCTTTGCATGGTTTCTAATACAATGAAAATATTAGCAGTGCGCTCATTGTAGTGAAATGGAAATCTGAATTGAGAATCCTCTTTGTTCTTCTTTCCCTCAGCAAATCTCTAGTGGGCATGTATGTAGGGTAGGCCGTGCATGGTTCTATCATGAATGATATTGTCATGTGGCCTCTTTGGGGAGGAGATCAACAGTGGAAGAGTCAGTCTAGCAATTGTGACTCATATAAAAACCAGAGGACTGATCAGTAGCAGCGAAAGTGATGTGCTAGCAACAGGTGCAATTAACCACTCAAAAATATGAAGGCTTAGTTGATGGAGTTTTCGGTAACAGCCTTAATCTAGATTTCCCTTTTTCCATCTTGATTTTTAAAAAAGTGTTGCTTCCTGAGCATGATTTAATGAATGTGACTATTCCTTCCTTTGATAATTGAAAGTTTTGTAGTTTTTCATTGTGAAGATCAATTCTCTTGTAGAACTAATGCCAAGACATGGAGCACTGAACTATTAGCTTGTCATGGCCAAGAAGTGCTTTGCATTTCTGTTTGAAAAATCCCTTATCAGCTCACTTCATTGTCTTTAGAAAAGTGAAGTGTGTGCGAGAAAAACCAAATGGTATACTATATGGGAAAACAGAGGTTTTAAAACTTTTCATCCATTCAGAGAGCATGAACTTCCACACTTTCAATATGCTGCCTGTGGAAGACTGATTTTGCTTGCTTGTCCCCTCCTTCCCCCTCAACCCCCACCCCCAGAGGAATGTTATTAAGAGAAAGCTCAACATGGGGAAGAGCTGGTAAGAAATGGGGGGACAGTCTTGGAGGTATTAATTCCCTGTCACTGCCCCTGCACCTCTGGCCTATATCCCAGCTCTTCTATGGTACAATAAAAATAAATAAATAAATAAATAATAATAAAAAAAAGAATGGAGGTCAGACAGGAGTGCAAGATAAACTCTAAAATTGCTTATAGTGTGGGGAGTCTTTAAGATCTAAAAAATATCCCTTGGCATTATGTCAAAAGAAATATGGAAAGGTGGAGGTGGAAGAGGGCAGGAACAGAAAGGAGAACAAGAAAAAAGGACAATGATGATGCCTGTCTTTTTTCTTAAAATAATTCAGAGCAAATGAAATAGATTAGATGAATTTCAGAGGAGGATCTCTTGGATTTGAATTTGGGTTTCTCTTCCATTGAGTTTTAAGCCTCCTCTGCATGCTACTTAGAAGGAGAAGAGAAGGAGAAGAGACATTAGGAACCATATTTGGCTTTTGACAAGTGAAGTAAATAAGGCAACAGGATAGGACTTATTTGGTATTTTCTCCATATACACCAAAAAAAACACAAAACCCCAAAAGTCCTTTTTTTTTTTTCTTTGTCAAGAGAATGGGCATAGAAGAAGCCTAAGGGCATTGGTAGGTGCATGGTTTTGATTTTGTGTTCTTTAGGGTGAGTTATTAAAATTATCAATTGGTCACAGATGTCTAAGCATAGTGGGTGGCACCTTGGGTGCCTCGGATTTCAGTACAGCTCCCCTCTTCTTACTCTGGTTAGGCAGAGGTTTAAAACAGCTTCATTAGTTTAAGTAATGTCTAAGACTGATGCTAGTCAGTGTCCTCTTACTTATCTATCTACGCTTTTCAAGATTTTTGGCAAACCGTATCATAAACTTGCTACAAATTATAAATTTTTTATAAAAGTCTAAAACTTGGTTTCTGTCTCTAGCATCCTAACAATGCCAACACCATCTAACTAACGTGCTCCTCTTTGAAAACGTGGTATAAGCGCTTAAATACTTGTGTGTTCTTATTTTCACAGCTTGGGGAGAGTGGCGAGATCAAGGTAATTAGCGAAGTGAATTTCCTGCTCGACAGACTGAAAGAGGCTTGCCTTCGATCAGAGGAAAGCTGGAAAATGAATAACTAACCCTTCTTGCCTGTTAGGAAAAACAATAAGATCCCCAAAGGTTTATCTTTTACCAAATGGAAAATGGGAAGTTAAACTTCACAATGATGGGTGGATTCTAAATAAGTGTCTACTGAGTGTAAAAAAAGAAAAAAAAAGAAAACACTGTCTCTTGCATAATGATATTTATTACAATTTTATTATAGTTGATGTTTTACACCTGGTTTATTTATTTAGCAATTGTCTCTCCTTACAAAGAAGACAACTTCTTTTTGTTTTGGAAAAAACCCTAATAACTTCATTTTCATAATAAATAATTTGTATTTATGAATTTATTTATTGTTATCATCACACATTTTATTTAAGTTATTTTATTAATAAGGATTTATTTATAGAAACATTGAATTGCTGTTAGAATTTAAGGGTAATATTAATATTTATGACTAATTATAGAGCTGTAATGTTTATTTGACCTTAATAAACACTTTAATATCTTGAATCTTGTGATTTTGGGATTTCTTTCCTTTTATATCATCACTATTGTGATTGTCAGCATTATCATCATGTAATTATTCCTATTTGCTAAATAGGCCAAGAACATGATATAAAAATGGCTTTATTTTAACTCTAAGCAAATGAATTAGCTATTAGTATTATCTCCATCTTACAGATGAGAAAACTGAATCAGAAATGTTAAGTCACATTATGTAATTCTAACTAATTGGTCCTTTTTGAGCAAATTCTATCTAATTTCAAGGCTCTCTGCTATATTACTTGCCTGGAATTATTGTTAATCAAGATATATTTCAAAAGAAAAAATGTAGGAATTAAAAATAATCCATATATACCAGTAGCAATTTGTGGATAAAAGAAAAAAGTGTTGTTTCTGGGGGCAATACTGTATCTCTCTATTGGAAGATGAATTGTTGTAGTTTTAGTCCAAGCCTTCTAGGGAGGACTTTCTCCAGTCTCCCTGTAAGTCAGGAAATAAAGTAACAGGGTAACTCATTGAGTTCTGGGAGTTGTATTTGCTAGTGGAGATTAGCATTGATAGAGAAGTCTTGTGGGTGAAAGATGAAACACACTGATCAAGAAGGAAAGATACAGATCTTTAAAATTTGTGCAGTGATACAGAGAAGAGAAAGCAGAAGGTAGAGTTAAAAGTTGGATTTGTTCTATGGAAGAGAATGAACAAACACACCATCATTGAAGAGTGGTTCCTTGGGGAAGGGCTTTCAAGACAGTGCATAGATCTTTCTAAAGAAGGTGAAAATCAGGGATCAAGTGGTCAGCTATTTCAAGTGTTTTCTTTTCCAAAAAAAAAAAAAAAAATCAGGAGTTAAAGTTTATTGTACAGATCACTCAACGAATGATTGCCCAATTCCTGCAGGATTAGGCAAACTCTGATGGTGATTGGTGAGCTCATATGTGAGCACATAAATGAAATTGAAGGTTCATTTGTGAATGAATTAGAATTAATACTTATGGGCTGGGTTCCAAGGGATGAGAGATATCAAAGCTGAGCTTCAGGGATAACAGAATCATAATGATCTCTGGAACAAGGTGGGGTTTAAGCCTCTTTTCTTTCTTCTTCCAAATGACTTAAGCAAAATTGGGTACTTGCTTTTAGACAGTCTTCTAGAAATCGAGCCATAAATGGAAACATACCCTTAAAATTGGATTCAAGAATGCTTGCAACCCAGTGCAAGGAGTCTGAAATGAAGAGAGGTTCTGAATGCCAATGAACATAAGGGATAAAGTGCTAAAATCTACTCCAGTTCTGTATGGCAATGCTGGCAATTTTGGCAGCTACATGAGATAGTCCAAAGTACTTGCAGGGAGTTTTGACATAATTGTTGGTTGGCAGATGCTGTCACAAAGCTGATTTTTGGGCATCAGTGACTGTAGCTAGCATTTGCCTGGCACTGTCAGAACTGCTCATGACTTTGGCATTGGTAGAGGCCTTACGTGTTTCCTCCCCCTGTCGTCTGTCGATGGCAACCAAAGATCTTCAAGAAGACTAATCTGTGAACTTGGGTGAGGCACAAGTCCCCTGAGACACTAATCAGCATTTAGGATTGACAAGAGGGTTTTGAGGATGGGAAAGATTTGATATGACTCATGCTTTATAAAGATCACTCTGGTTACTGGGTGGAGAGCCAAATGTCTGGGGAGGAGGTGACGATGGCAGTGAAATAGATGAAGGTAGATTCGGAGAAAACTGGCATGTGACTTACTGTGATGCTCAGTTTGTGTTACCTAGGAATGCAGTATTATGTGCGGATCATATTCACCAACAGCATAAGTGATTGTTAAGCTTTTCCTTTCGTCTTTCATTTATGCTATTCACTAGCATGCAGGACTTTATTTACTTATTTTTTTAAGATTTATTTATTTATGCATATAAGAACCAGGGTACAGGCCACAGGCGTGTGGGGTGGTGGTGTGCGTGTGAGAAGATTCACCAGAGACAGGGTGGGGAACAGAAGAGGCAGATGTACTGAAATACACTGCTGAGGGGAGCAGCGGGTGAGTCAGGAGAGGTCTGCTGTGCCATGTGGGTTGCTCCCTGACTGGGGAGTGAACTCGTGCTGCAATGGCTGCGGACAGCTCCTTAGGTTGCGCCTCAACCCCTTGCACCACCAGGGAGGCTCTAGCATGCAGGACTTTACATGGGAATTTTAAGACAGATCAGTGATTTTGTCTTTGAAGAGGATCAGATTTTTAAGATATGAGTGAAGACACATGTAGGGTAAATGGTTTTCAGGCTTTTCTGCCCTCCACCATTAGGATTGCCCTGCTTGATGGGGCACCTGCAGTTGTTAAATTGTTGCGTTGTTTACTTCTGTGGGCCATGAGAGGAATATTGAGATAGTCTCCGGGAGAAGCAGAAGCAGGAGAGAGGCAGGAGAGGGAAGAGAGAGAGAAAGAGAAGCCCAGAATGAAGACTTGGCCAGGGTTTGAAGGCCTGCCAGCCTCTTGGCCCCCTGGCACCCCTGCCTGTCGTGTACCTGTTTCCCACACTACATGTAAAGCTCAATAAAAGCTTGAGAAACCCACTGAGGGCTCCAGGACTCTCCTTCACCCATCTGCTGGATTAAAAAACCTGCTCAGTGGCCTATCCTGCCACTACAACACATACCAGAAGAGGAGATGAAAATGGTGCCAAGGTTGGAAACTGACTACTATTGTCTAAGAGGCAAGCACAGTTATAGTGACTTTAAAATCTAGTTTCAAGGAATGTTTATTGTAGACTAGTCTATATTCTCACCAACAATGTGCAAGTCCTTTAAACTCTTTCCTTAATAATTTTTATTAAGAAACAATTCACATTTCATTATTATGCCTTCATTTTCCTAAATCTTTTTATACTGTACAACAGTGCTCCTGCCTCCTTGTCTGCTCACACTCAGAACTGTAAACACAAAAGCACATGATGACTTCATGTATACAAAGAAGCTTAAGGATAATTTTTTTTTTCTTTCCATCAGAGAAGGAATTTCAGATGTGCAAGAGTAAAAAGTTGCCAGCAGACAAATAACTGCCTTTGGCTGATGCTGCTGAACTGAAGTAAATAAATTTCAGCGACTATTGAATTTCTTAATAAGAAGTTGTTTTTATGGTTGAAGAAGGGCTAGCAGTGAGTTTGCAATGTTGCAAGTAATTGATGCAATTTTTAAAAAAATATTTGAGTAGGTTTTATTTTTTTATTTATTGGTGATTTTTTTTGGAGTTAATATGTTACTGCCACACCACACCCACAACCAAAGCATCCATAATCCTTCACTAAAGACCATTTGATTCCCTTCCCACCCTTTTCCCTCTAGTAGCCTCAACTTCAGTCATATTTTTATGGTTTATTTTGGTTTAGCAATGGCTGTATTCCTTTGTTTTGTTTTGTTTTGTTTTGTTTGTTTCATGTAGCATAAACCCCTCCAGTTCCATCCATGTCGTTGCAAATGGCAAGAACCATGTAGTTTTTTTAAAATAGCTGAGCATTAGTCTATTGTGTATAATTATTATGTCTTCATCCACTCATCTGTTGTTGGGCACTTAGCTTGTTTTCATAACTTGGTTATTTTGAATAGTGCTGCAATGAACATAGAAGGGCATAATCCCTTCAAATTAATGTTTTTGCATTCTTTGGATAAATAACAAGGAGTGGAATTGCTGGATCACATGATAGATCTATTTTTAATATTTTGAGGAACTCCATGTTGTTTTCTATAGAGGCTACACTAGTCTATATTCCCACCAACAGGGTTTATTTTTCTGCACACCCTCACCACCACCACTTGTTTCTGTGTTTTTTTTTTTTTTTAAATATGGACCATTCTATGGGCCTCCCTTGGTGGCGCAGTGGTTAAGTCCTGGGCTGCAAAGCTGCCCGCAGCCTCTGCAGGGCCAGTTCGATCCCTGGCCACCTGCGAGGGTCCCACATGGAGCGCAGACCTCACCTGCCGCCCGCTGCTCCCCTCAGCAGTGTATTTCATAAGTCTGCATGTTCTGTTCCCCGCTCTGGCTCTGGTGAATTCTCTTACCCTCCTGCGCTTCTGACTGTACCCAGTGCTTGTATACATCAATCTTAAAAAAAAAAAATGGACCATTCTAACAGATAAGATGGTATCTCATTGTGGTTTAGATTTGCATTTCCCTTATGATAAGTGATGATGAACACTTTTTGGTGTGCTTGGAGGCCATGTGTTTGTCGTCTTTGGAGAAGTGTCTATTTAGCTCTTCTGTTCATATTTTTGATTGGGTTGTTTTCTTTGTATTTAGCTGTTTGAGCTCTTTGTAGATCTTGGATATTGGCAACTTGTCAGATATATGATGTATGCAAATATTTTGTCTCATTTGGTAGGATGTTTTTTCATTTTTTGATAGTATCTTTCACTGGACTACATTACTTCCTATAGGGTTACTTAAACTATTGCCATACCTTGGAAAGCAGCAGGATGTAGTCTGATAATTTAGATGAGATCATTTATAGATGATAAAGTTAGTTTTTTGCATATTTGAGTTATGTGTAATTTTCTGACCCTCCAACAAAACAAAATTAGAAACAAAAGCACTTCAGCTTTTAAAATAAAAACTTTCTTTAAGTGTTAAGGGGTTAAAGTCTAAGTGATATCAAGCCATCGCCAGCCACTGAG